AAAATTTCATCAAAAGTGTGCAAACAACATTAAAGAACGGGGGCCACTGGAGAAAGAGGATGCGCGCAAACGGAAGAACCCTCAATCCGAGGCATAGGCGCCAGAATTAATTAATAAACCAATTTGGAAAGGTTACAGGTGAAGATGGAAAGTTTTGAGCGCAAACGAAACAAGGACCCTCTTGTAAGATGAGAGCTGCATTCAAAACTTGGCCAAATTTCAATTGTGTCTAGCTGGCGAGGAAACGCCCAGTCGAAGACGCCAAATCGACGCCACATCTCTTCCAGTTTTTGCCCATGCCTCGTTTGGGGGCAAGCTGCCATCGTAGTGTCCTTGAAAGGGGCACAATGCGGACTTGTTACGCGCCTCGCCCTTTTATTATGGTTTATTACGTCAGCAAATGGACTGTACATACAGCTCACATGGTTCGAGAAACAGGAGCATGAACTGGGAAATAATTATACTTTTTTCATATCTCAAGCCTTAAAAATTCCTTAGTCTATATTTCCTTTAATAAATCTGTTAGCATTGCAAACTAATTATACAAATCTTGGATACCAAGTCTTATAAATGGCGTTGTAAACTAGATTTCTATCAATATTTTATATATTGGTTAACACTATTTTAGTTACTTTTCTGGTGTTATGAGTCACAAAATGATATGTAATATCGCCTTATTTACCTTTGTACCATTTTTTCCCTTCACCTATTTGTGTCTTTGACATTTTTCCCTGTGCATACAAACAAGGGCGGAGAAATAAGGGGCGGGACGGCCAGCTGGTCCAAGTGCCCTGACTTTGACCCGCTTGCATAAGAAATGACAAGCGTAACTGGGCGTAACTGCTTTTAAATCACGGGTAAACTAAAATTAGACTTAAGAGGATAAATTTCCAACCGATTTCTAAGTTTTATCAAAAATCGGACCTAGATATCTACAAGTTAAAAGCTTGTATAAATTAAAGTGCATACAAAATTACCAAGACTCTTAAACAAAAAATGGGTTTACAACTTAATTGGTATACATATTACATAATTATTAATATTGGTAAATAATATTGCGTGTTTGATTATTGATATTCTATCTGCAAAACTTTAATCACTTTGCAGACTTTATAGGCACACTCGCGGCCAATTGATAGGATTCATTGAAAACCAATTCGGGTACAACACAACGTTTATGAATGTTTTTTGTGTGGCTTTTTTTTTGGTTGTTTGTTTTGCAAGAGAGAGAGTTTTATATTTCATTTTGATCGCCATCACGCCACGGGGAGTCGCCAGTTGCATGTTTAACGGTGTGGCCAAGCCTGCACTTTAACAGACCACAACAAACGGTTGCCCCAACCCATTTTTTCCTGGAACCCAGGAACCCACTTACCATCCTTGACCACTTGAAATTTCATTGAACTTGCTGAGCAGAAGAAACAAAAGGGGAAAGGAATTTTACTTCGAATAGCCGAAGCTTAAGTGCCATTGAACATAAACTTACAGAGAATAATCTTCGTTTTATGTCAATTACAATATTAAACAGAGAAATGCGAATTCGCTTTGAATTAATTTCCCAAATCATTTTTAACAACGTTTCTTATTGCTAGGGCTGTAAAAACAATAAGACTTTTTAACAGAAGTCAAGCGATATGAATAAAATATGTAAAAACTGAAATATCTTTTCAACTAAGCACATAAACAAAGGAAATTTTTAATATATCCTGACAGAGGGTATTGCAATTGCTTTTGTAGAGTTTTTCCTCATTCTTTTATAAACTTTTCGCTGTGTGCGTAAAGGAAGGAAAATTCATGGAAAACTTATGGGCGTGTGCGTGGGAATGAGGTCATATTTGGAGCTGGAGCTAGAGCTGGCCCAGCCATTTCGAGTGTGTTTGCCTCCTTTAAACACTTTATTCTTTGTAAATCTTATGGGAAAAACACAGGGAAATTTGAAATTAGGTAATACGAATTAATTGTTTTTGTGTTTAAATAATAAAAGACTGACCAAGGTGAAAACTTGATAAATACACTCTCCTGCCCCATTTCGGATTTGTCGGTAAAACCATTTGAAAATTGGAAAAGAAGTACTCTGGGCCAATTTCCACCGCATGCGATGTGTGGTTTTGAGGGTTAAGGCGGTCTTCTAAGCTCCAGTGCCTCCCCCTTTGGTTATTGCATGTCCAGTGAAAGCCGAAAGCGCTGTGGCCATGCTCTTGCTCTTGGTGCGCCCTAATTGGTGCGGAAATTATTAATTATCTCTTACCAGGCACCGCAGAAATCGAAAGCTTTGAAAGGCTTTGAGATTGCCAGTGTCGGCTACAGACTGAATTACTCGATTTACTCGAATTACTCCCAACCAACATCGGCATACAAAGTGCAATTGTCTGCGGTCTACGCAATTGCACATTTTGCACAGTGGTTTTTGGTTTTTGGCCACTCTGCGGCTGCCCATCTGTATATGTATGTCTACTTGAGAGGAAAATATAAAACAGAGAATTCTGGGTATACGATTCTACAAGATACTAATTGTAAACAAGTTTCACTTTGGTTAAGAATTTGTTTTATAAAGTCAAGTTTCTTTAAAAGCATTATATTTATGTTTGACTTGGCTTAAATTTAAATTAAATTTTTAATTGAGTTTGTTTATGAAATACTTGGATTTACATCGTTTTTTTTTTACCAGAGTAGAATATTTTAGGCCAACATTTGTGGTCTATTTAACATTTTGGCAAATAATAAAAAATGAGATTGTAATTTTCGTTGCAACTTGTAAATCACTTTACATACAATCTGCCGACACTTACAGACTTGTTCATGTTGCAGTTGGTTTTGTTCGCAAGGAAAGTTCTTAATTGTAAAATGCCCTGAGCCCCGGCTCCCCATCTTCTTCCAGCTCCTCGTAATCCCCATGGACATCTTGGTTGTAACTTGGGCATAATTATGACAAAGCCAACAGCTGGCGGCCAGGCCCCTCTTTTTTTTGGGGCCTGCACTTTATTTCGGTTCATTTCAGTTCTTATGCAATTTACGTTCCGAGGGGCGGAAAAGTTTCCCGGCCATTTAAACATTAATTACTCACAGCCATTGGCTTCAAATGGTTCTGTGCATTGTCAGCGAAAAAAGTTAAGCAACAGGAAAGTCTGAAAAGTCCTGGATACCGAGTAAAATAATCCCGAGAAGGGAGCGATGGAAATCTCCCCTTGCCATTGATAAAATTGCATGCCATTTCCGGTCAGTAAACTTTCAATGTATAAACTTTTTTCCCTCTTCTGTTTGTGTGCGAGTGTTTCCAAAGTAAATTTCGAATCGGCCAAAGTTATGCAAGTTGTTCTGCAAGTTGCCTACAGGTTACCTTGTTTTCGGGTGTGCAAATATGCAAGAGCGTTTCGTAACCATACGTCAGCTAGGTAAAGGCAATAAATCGAAAATAACTCGGAATATGTTGCTTTCCTTATATATATATATATTAAGAACTCACATATTATGATTTTAAATGTTTCTAGTTTCTTCATCCATAAACTTGAAAAAAAAATGTGTGGTTAAATAAATAGTACTGATTACTGTCCATTAAAAAATCAGTGACGATTCTTAAAAATAAAAAATTAATTGACTATGATATAATAAAAATCAAAAACTTCAAGACTTCATATTGCAGAGTACTTATTTCAGGCTTAACTTTTAACTTTTCTTTGTCCCTTTGTTAAGTGCCATCCTATCTGAAAACGCATGTTGAAAATTCGATAAGCTGCTGGAAAAAGGGTTTAAAGTTTAAAGTTTTGTATTGCATGCACAACTTGAACAACTCAATTAGTGCACCATTGTTTTGCTTTGTGGCAGTTGTTGCTGTTTGGCTTTTCTCGTAATTGTTGCTGTGCATTGACGCAATTTCCACGCTTCTCTGACTGGGCCAAGCCCCGAAAACGAAAGCGAATTGCAGCAGAAAAAGTAAAAAATGGGCAGCTGAAGAAGATATTAAAGAAAAACGCCATGAAGGTAGTCATTGTGAATTAATTGGTATAATTGCCTTCGCAATCGCAGATGCAACAAAAGTGAAATTGAAAATAATAAAAAATACCTTTCAATGAATAGAGAAGAACTCATCGTAATAAAGTCTAGTAATTAATAACCTTAACTAAAGTCATTATTTAGCTATATATTTTCTTAATTTGTATTAAGACGCTCACAAAAGAACGTATTTCTAAATTTTAACCAACCTAAAATAATAAAATTTAATATTTTTTAAGTTTTAATCTGCATGACTGCTCCCTTGTAATACCTTAAATTCTACCTTTGCCACACCCCTTTTTTCCTTTAGCATTTGGCTTTTCTCGTGTGTAAAATTCTGTCAACAGCCCAATGCAAATTTGTTTGGTTTTTCCCAACTGTGCGTGGCTTTTTTCGCAGTCGCTCGGCCGCTCCCAGTCGTTGCTAATGTGTCGCTAATTAGCTGGCTATGAAAATGCGTGGGTGCTTTGGGAAATTCATTCCCCTTTCTAGCCGCTAAAAAATGAGCCACAATATTTGACTGCATTGCGTGAATTTGTCAACCAGTTCGCATGGAAAAGTAGAATCCACCGGGGAAATTTTAAATCGATTTTGGGCATTTCCAAGGTTTAAAATTAAAAATTAGTAGCAATTTGTCTTCTAATACATATAAGTAAGTTTGCTCTTATATGATTTAATGATTGACCAATTTTGGTTATGAAAATCATGCTCATATTTGACTTTTAAATGTTATAATTAATTTCATAAAAATCGGAAGACTATTTTATTTAGCTGTCATTGAAAAATCAAAATTATTAGCAAATAAACAGAAAAATTGACCTTTTATTAGGGGACTTTCTTGAAAATACAATTTCCAAAACAAAAACATTTAAAAAAAAATTAGTAACCTATATATATAGTATAATAATTAATCATTGACAAGAGTTTCCTAGAAAATGCCTGAGGGAAGCAAACTATTACTATTATCATGTTGAATCCACAAATTAATATATTCCTCCTGTTCCTTTCAGAAGAAAAAGTCCATTTGCCATGGTGAACGATGAAGATGTGATGGCAGCAAACAGAACTTCCAAACTTAGTGGATACGACTTCTACCGCCAAACCTTGGGATCTCCACGCTATGTTGTGGCACCAATGGTCGACCAGAGTGAGCTGGCCTGGCGGATGCTGTGCCGGCGATATGGCGCCGAACTCTGCTACTCGCCCATGTACCATGCGAACCTCTTTGCCACCGATCCCAAGTATCGCAGGGATGCTTTGCAGACGTGTCCGGAGGACAGGCCCCTGATCATCCAGTTCTGCGGCAACGACGCCCAACAAATTCTGGAGGCCACACTTTTGGCCCAGGACCACTGCGATGCGGTGGACATTAATTTGGGCTGTCCGCAGGCCATCGCCAAGAGGGGTCACTACGGCTCCTTTTTGCAGGACGAGTGGGAACTGCTGACGGAGATTGGTAAGTGGATTCCTTCACAATTGAGTAATTTTTGTTAATGCCAACCCTTTTTCCAATTTTTAGTGAGCACCTTGCACGCAAAGTTATCCATACCTGTGACGTGCAAGATTCGCATCTTCAAGGACCTCGATAAGACCATCAGATATGCCAAGATGCTGGAGGCTGCCGGTTGTCAGCTGCTCACAGTGCACGGGAGAACCAGGGAGCAGAAGGGACCACTCACGGGCGTGGCCGATTGGAGCTACATAAAGGAAGTGCGGCAGCACATTAAGATACCCATGTTTGCCAACGGAAACATTCTTGGTTTGGAGGATGTGCACCGCTGTTTGGCGGAAACGGGCGTCGATGGCGTGATGAGCGCCGAGGGTAATCTCCACAATCCGGCCATATTCCAGGGACTCTCGCCACCCATCTGGCAAATGGCCAACGAATACTTAGAGCTCGTGTACCTGCATCCCTGTCCCAGCTCCTACATACGGGGACATCTCTTCAAGCTTTTCCACCACATGTAAAGTTCAACTGATCCCGAATTTATAGACAATTACTCTATGAACTACTCTCTTCTAGTATGAACATCCGACAGAACGCTGGACTTCGACAAGATCTGGCTACTGCCAATCAGCTAGTGCAATTTCAAACAGTCGTGCAAGAGGTACAAGCCAAATACGAACCCTTCCATAAGGGCGAGGTGCCCTATGAACCCGAAGAATTGGCTGCTGGATCAGAGGAAGATGTAAGTTTTCCCAAAGACTTTAGTTTTTAATTCATCAGTTTACTTTGCTTTCCAAATGTTTGGGTTCTTTTTCTTTTATCTCGTCTAAATTTATTGTTTAACCAAATGTCTAAATTTACGTTTGGATTGTTATTTGGTTATTTATCTCAAACTTAAAATTGCAAAATTTGCATCCTAATTGAATTACTATTTCCATAAGCTAAAAAAACTACTATTATTTTAACGATATTCCTGACTTCCTGTAGAAACTACCACTAGCCCCCTGGCTGTGCCAACCCTATATTCGCGCCTCGCCCGAATCCCACCGCCAGAAGATCGCTGAAAAGGTGGCCGAGGCGGCGGATCCCAATAGAGCCAAGCGGCAGTACTTCGACAAGGACGGCAACGAGATATCCCGCAAGCGGATGAAGAAACTGCGCAGACGCCAGCGGAGACCCGGCAAAACGGAGGCCCAGATCCAGCATCGGCACGAGCGGCGACTGGAGTACTGCACGGAGTGCGCCAACCCCCAGGGATCAAAGTGCGAGTTCCGGCTGTGCCGCGTCTGCTGCAAGGACAGGTGCTACAGCACCGATCGTGACTGTCCCGGCCACGGAATCCTGATCAAATCACGCAGGGCCAAGGCCAAGCAGTTCGAGGCAATCCACTACGTTTCTGAAAATCCAACTGGTGATCCCGCGACAACTGCAGTCGATGCAGAGGATTCGCTTTGACATTAACTTTTCCCAGAGCTGTAACAAAGATGACCCATAATAAACCTAGATATGGATGTAATACCTGTAATTTTAATCGGAATAGGGAAGTTACTTAAAGTAATATACATATCTGCAATTTATAAATTTAATTAATTTAATAACTACTAAAAATACTTATTAATGAAAAAAAATAAAATACTAGCTGCCAGCTCTGATAGAACAGCCACACTGTTACACGTTTTTCTGTAACTAGCTACGGCCACTCTAGACACTAGTTGCACGCTTTGGCCGAAAGTCAAAACAAACCAATAAACATGGAGCAAACAAAGCCATTTTACGATTTAAGCATTGCCTATAACAAGGACGACTCGGTGATGAGGGCCCTGCTCAACGAGCTGGTGGAATGTAAGTAGAAGTGGAAGATTTGAAATGTTTCTGCCCACTATCAACCAATAACTCTTTCCAGTGGGCTACAAAACCATCGCAATCGATCAGAGTTTTGATCACAGCAAAAAGGAGACCGGTAAACGGGGATCCGAGATGTTTCCCGAGCCCCACAAGATTGAGCATCTGCGCAAGGAGTTCCAGAACAAGCTGAGGATCCTGCAGAGAATCACCATTCTCTACGTGGACGTTAATGTGGCGCATGCGATGGTGAGCTCATTTACTCATGTTACTAATCATGTTCGCTGTAAGTTAATTACTAATTTATTGTCAAATATAGCTTTGCCAGATTGAGTGTATAAGTTAATAGTATAGATTTTATAGTAATGTAAAATAGTTCAAAGGCCGTTTGGAGGTTTTTTAAACTTACAGCAATAGCTAAAATGTACATTATTTTTGCTACAACCCTTTTATAATCCTAAAAGAAAATCACAAGGGTCATAATTTCATTTACATATATATTGTAGTTATTAATATATTATTTAAGCGTATAAGCTATAAAGGTTTAAACATTATCATTTAACATCTCCAAAAGTGTATAGTTAATAGACCTTTCGAAATTCTTACACAGCACCAGTTTAAATGTATCTTTATTTAGCCTTTGGAAGACAAACACATTTAATAATAAACATGTTGTTTGAAATCAGTCACCATAACTAAAAGTTTATTTTTCAGAGTGTTTCCCAAAATCTGCGAAAGTTTAATCTAATTGCTGGCCAGCCCAAAACAGATGCTGCCTTGACGGTACATAACTATTAATTACTCTTGCGATCTACTTTTAAGATAGTTTATCTTTAGCACTGTTGCACCGCGTTCAATGGAGACCTAATAAGCTTTGATCCTGTGGCTGGATCACGTCTTTCGGTCAATCGGAAAGCCTACCTGGTGGCCGTTCGTCGGGGCCTATTCTTCGAGATCAAATACGCCCCAGCTATAGCCGATTCGAATAACAGGAAGGACATAATAAAAATCGCACAGAACTATTGCACCAAAGGAAAGTCAAAGAACATCATTTTCAGTAGTGGAGCGACGCACGAATTCCAGCTAAGAGGACCCTACGATGTGGCCAATCTGTGAGATCTTCGCTAGATATATTATCGTTCAGTTCTTTTTCATTTTCTTGAACCATCTAGAGCCTTTATTTTCGGATTATCGGAGGACCAAGGCAAGAACGCTGTGGATCGGCATTGCCGGCAACTCTTTTTGAGGGCAGAGTCGCGTCGCATCGGCAAAACCATCATGTTTGTAAAGGGCAATGGACCTATTGTATTCTCAGGCAGCTCAGAGGACGACCACAGCGAGGGAGACGATGAAATGGAGGGTCTGGAAACGCAAATAGGAGAAGAGGATGAATCGGAAATTAAAAATGAAAATAAGCAATCCAATAAACGACTGAAAATGGCTTAGCACCACATATTAAATGCTTTTTTTTATAGGAAATGCCTTCTGTATAACCAAATAATAAACCTTTTTGTGTAAATTGACCAAACAATTTGGATTGTCAAATGCTTTTTTTTACAAATTCTTCGACTGGAAGAAAGGTTTACGGTATTTTTTTTTACTAATATGTTGATATTTTTTGTTTGAAAAAAAAAATTGCAAAGACAAAACGGTATGTATACAATATGTGTTGAAGTTTTAATTTAAAAATGTGTAAAAGAAGATATATTCTGATCCGTTAACACCATGGCGCTGCCACCTTATTTATTTTGTGCGGTATATTTTTAGTATGTAATTCAGAACGATGTCCAAAGTCTGGCTGCCTTCCATTCGAAACTATCGACTAAATGTCGATTTTTGGCCCAGCTCTAGCGTACAACAACAAAACAAAATGGAGGTCTTTGATGTGTGTGTCGCGTTGTCTTGAAAATTGCTGCTAGAATTTTGCGTTAAACGGTAACTAAAAGTGCAAATCAATTGAGAAAAATAGCGGAAAAACGCGTTTCAGGTTGCCGGCAACTGGAAAAGCACCAAATCCGAGCGGAATTGAACGTATTTTAAGCAAAAAATGCATTTGAAAAGCCCTGTGCGGAGACACTTGAAAAGAAAAAAATGTTCAAAGAAGAAGAGAGCGGAGGGCGAGAGAAAAAGAGAGCAAAAATAGCAGGGAAGACGAGCGACGAGACGAGAAGAAAAACGGCAATGCAAAAGAAATATGTATTTCGCGAGACGAAGAAGAAAAGCTGAAAAACAGCAGCCTATGTACAATTTCAATTGTTTTTTCCTTCGCAGTGCCAAGTGCATTTCTCTCTGTGGCTGTATGTGAGTGGCTAATGTGTGTGTATGTGCGATTAATTAATGGCGAAGTTGGCGGAGAACATCGAAAATCAAATGCAAAAGTGTGAGCGACAACCGTCTAATACAATTAAAAATGGACCTCAACTGCGTGTGTGTGTGTGTTTGTGCGCGATGCTAATTTAGGTTTTCGCCTTCATTATGATGTTTGATTTTAATCATCGCGTTGATTTTTTCTTTTGATTTCTTTTGTCCTGCTCTGCTCGCCATTTTCTTTGCCCCCGCTTTTTACTTCCAAAAAAATGTGTTTTACCTCGATTTTTTTTCTTTCGAGTATCGCGCGTCTCATATATTTTGTGTATGTATTGGTGCTGCAGTGTTGCCAACATTATTCGGAAGATGCAGCGCCGCACATTTTGCACCTGTGCAGGAGACAATCTGCGATATCCCCTCCACATCCTTTACCTCCCCCTCTTTTATTCACACCCCCGAGTTTGTCCATCTGCCATAAAATAATGGCCAACACTGCTACAGTTGCTCTGCTGTCGCCGCAGTCGACGTTCTCGCTGCTCTCTATTCACATTTTGTTATTGTTGCGATTGGAGAAATCGAATTGCAAAGCATTTACTAAATTTTTTTACCATATTTAATTCAAGTGAAAATCATTAAACTTGGATTTACTGTGAAAAATTTGAGAAGTTTTTTCTTAAAGTTGTAATTATAACTTTAAAAAATTTAAACCTTTTGATCTTGGCTAAGTTTGTGAAACTTTTCCTTAGCAAACGCTTAATTTTAAATTCACATTTAAACTCGGTAACAACACCAGTAAAATCAAAGTAAAATCAGACATTCGTAAAATATAAAAGTAATTCTTGTTTATACCTTTTAACTAAATATGTTAACACTGTGTTAATTTTGTTTTTACTATAGTCAGTATCTTTTAAGCCATATTAAATACATATATTTGTTCTTGCACATTTTTATATTTTTGGCCCATCAATGGGTTCCACTTATAATGGTGATTCACTTGGACAGGTTGTACTGTAGTTGGCATGCCCCATCGATATATCGATATTGATGGCCTGAAGTAGCACTCACATAGATACAGTGCAACGGTATCCCCATTTGTGGCTCTTCCTCTTGCTCCACCTTGATTGCTTTTTGCTCTGCTTCGGCCGCTGTGTCAACTCATCTGTCTGCCTCCCTACACTCGCTCTCTTCGCACTCACATACTCGCACGCACACAGTCGCTAGTGGACACACGTTTTTCTAGCCGGGCCACTCCGCTTCTTCCTCTCCCACTCCCGCTTCTGCTCTCGCACACGGAGCTCTAAGTCGCGCAATTGATGAGAGAGCGTAAAATTCATGCGCTTGTCGCCGCTCTCAACCGCGTCGCGTCGTCTGTTGTGCACCTCTTCTTCTTCCACTCGGCGGCTGTAACAATTTTTTCATTCCATCTGCGGCCTTTTTCTTTTTCCACTTGTGCAATTACCAAGACGCTGAGATTTTCCCGTGACTTCCAGCAATATCTATTGATTTCTTTGTTTCTTTTTGGCTGCAGTAAAACTACGTTTAATTGTAATTACCGTGCGTTAGTGTCAGTGATTGAGCGTGAGAGGAGCACACCGCGAGGAGAAGAAGAAGCAACAGCCTCGCGATTGTAATCGTTGCGCTTTTGCAGTTTTCGCCATTGCTTCTTGTTGCGGCAATTGTGCTACAATTATTATTTCGCATGTGTATCTACACTTGAATTAGCATTGTTGTTGTTCTTGTTGCCCGAGTCATTCGTCATCTGTCATTCTTCCGCTGCGCCTAACTATCGATAACTTGCGTCCAAAATGATTGCGTGACCAAAAGCCAAACCAAAAAACACTAAACGTAAAAACAGGAAAAAATTAGGGACGGCGAGAGAGAGGAGGAAATACGTGAACTTATAAACCACACAAAGGAACTGTAAATTGTGAGAACCGGCGATAATAAACAAGATAAAGTCAAATGGATTAGCAGCCCTAAAATAAAATGAAAAACGGTGAGTAATAGTATTTGCAACTTTATTCCAATTATAAGTTCATTGCGACAAACGGAATCGTGAAATCGCGAGCGATTTACAACAAAGGCCAGGCAAAAAATGCTTTTTAGGAATAATTATGTATCTTTAACCGAAACCAGATACACACGTACACTCAGCGAGACAGCCGAAACACCAAACACACACACGCAGACAGACAGACACACTGTCAAACGAATTGAGCGAAACACAAGCACACAAGCGTCAGCAAAATAATTTCAATCAACTCTTTTTCCGAAGAAGAAGCAGCAGCAGCTAAAAAAAACGTCACACGCCTGTTTTCTTCCTCTTCACAGCACTCGCCATCTCCTTTCCTCCCTCACTCGTTAAAA